TATTTGTTGTTCGCTGTTCGCGGGAATGGTTTAAGGCAAAAAGAAAATGGGCAATTATAAAAATGTGTGGGAGGAAAATTAGGATTAAAAAAATTTTTTTGAAGAATTAAATTTTTTAAAAAAAATAAAGCTTATAATAATAAACTTTAATCTTTTTTTAAATTTAAAGTTTATTATTATAAGCTTTATTTTTTTAAAAAATTTACTGTTATTATTATATTAAGCTTTATTATCAGTTTATTTTAAAGCAGCTTTATTCTAAATCTGATAATAATCATAAGCTTTATAATCCTAATTTTTCTCCAGCTGCAATATTTATTTGGCTCCAGACAATTGTCAGGAATTGCCATTGATAACTTTTGTGAAAGTGCCGCTGATAAATTGTAAATAATTTAGATATCTTTTGCAAAGGAAATTAAATATATAATAAGCTGTCATTAATTTTTAATTTCAGATTATTTTCGAGATTTTATTCCAAAATTATCAATATAATCAATATTAATGACAGCTTAATTACCCGCAGACTGGGTAATTCCAGCTCTGCTAACTACCTAAATAAAAGATATCTGGTTGATCCTGCCTGAACTGATGTGTTCATTTCAAAGATTAAGCCATGCATGTATAAGTTTAATCGTTTTAACGAGAAACCGCGAAAGGCTCATTACAATGGCCATGATTTACTTGATCTTGATTATCTAAATGGATAACTGTGGAAAAGCTAGAGCTAATACATGCACCAAAGCTTTGTCCTCACGGAAAAGCGCATTTATTAGAACAAAACCACGCGGCTTCGGCTGCTTCTTGTTGACTCAGAATAACTAAGCTGACCGCATGGCCTTGTGCCGGCGGCGTGTCTTTCAAGCGTCCACATTATCAACTTGACGGGAGCATAATCGACTCCCGTGGTGGTGACGGATAACGGAGGATCAGGGTTCGACTCCGGAGAAGGGGCCTGAGAAATGGCCACTACGTCTAAGGATGGCAGCAGGCGCGCAAATTACCCACTCTCGGCTCGAGGAGGTAGTGACGAAAAATAACGAGACTGTTCTCTTTGAGGCCGGTCATCGGAATGGGTACAATTTAAACCCTTTAACGAGTATCAAGCAGAGGGCAAGTCTGGTGCCAGCAGCCGCGGTAATTCCAGCTCTGCTAATACATAGAATTATTGCTGCGGTTAAAAAGCTCGTAGTTGGATTCGTATCGGTACCTTGGAACCCTTCGGGTGTTTCTGGGTGTTATCGATTTATCGTAATGTTCGGTTTTGAGTCCTTAACAGGATTCTTAACAGTCATTGCAAGTTTACTTTGAACAAATCAGAGTGCTTCAAACAGGCGTTTTCGCTTGAATGATCGTGCATGG